TATTTCTAGGTTAAAAAAAAAAAGATCAAATAACAACAATTTCATATAGCTCAACCTAAATTAAAACAAACTCAAGAAGATAAAATATCGAAGTTGATTTGTAGTTAATTTTTCTCTGCTCCCTTTACTTACTTACTTACTTATAGTGGGTGAGAAGCATGTAGTTGGCAAAGGGGCACAACTGGCTGTTTCTTTGTTTCTTTACTCACCTTCCCTTAGATTGTTAGCTGTAGTTTCTGACCTCTCCAGGAACAAGGGTGGGGGAGATGAATAAAGGATACAGGAATTCTTACTTGACTGGTGCTATCCTGAGATGGATCAGATGCTATAAGGTGTTAACAGCCTTCATGCGGGTTCTCTGCAGATTTCCCTTTACTTACATCCTTGTCTGAGTGAATATATTTTACTACTGCAGTCCCTAGACATCAGGGATGTCCTCTGCTTTTTTTTTGCAGAAGGCTCTGCTCACCTCCGGAAGAGTCTATGAACAGGACCTAGCATGATTCCACGATGATTCACAAACACACTTCTTTGTACTCACGGATCCTGGACCTGCAGGCCAATTCGACCGCAGCTACCTCTCATCTGATTGCCTGTCAGGAGCTGGTTGGCTGCTATCTCACCCCTTAGGTATTTCAGGCAGGGGTCAGGCACTAGTCAACTGTGTGTCCCAACTTTAGTGGACACACTGGGCTCACTGCTTGATCCCACTGAAGTGGGATCACTAGGCTCTTTTTAGAGAGAAATCTTCACAAATCCCCTCAACTCTCTTTTAATTCCTTTATACCCTTGAGGTGGGTGAGGAGTCTAAGAATTCACCATCCAGCTCTTAGCTTTCTATCTGTAGCCTCTCTCACAATTTATTTTTATATCTTCCCCTTTCAGGAATGAAGGCAGGGAGGATAAGTAATTGATCTCTGTCGTTTCCAACCTGGGCAGGTTCATCCCTCCTTAGGCAACCTGGTGGTCCCCCTGCTCATGGGAGGTCGCCTTATTGATGATGAACTTAGTGCGCACACCCAATTGGCATAGCACGCTACAGTCCAGAACTCCTAGGCCCAAGCAATCCTCCTGCCTTAGCCTGTCAAGTAGCTGGGACTACAGGTGCACGCCACCACGCCCTGCGGTGGAGGCTAAGTACTTGGGAGGAAAAATTCCAGAAGCAAATTCTGCCAATCTTAAAGCAGAACTGGGTTCTTTAATTGAAACTAATAAAAACAAAAACAAAAGACAAAACAACCCAAACTTAATTAAATTATGTTATAATGAGTCAGGGGAAAAAATGGTTGTTTAAAATAAATTATGTTTTTGGAGAGAATTACTGTAAGACCACATGAAAGATAACCACACTTTTCAGTATACATTTCTTTGAAGAGGAAGTATTTTTCCAAAATTTCTACAAACAAATTTCTTTTCTGAATCCACTGAAGGAAGGTCAAACTTTAAAGGGAATTTAAATGTGTTACACTCAAAACCCTATTAAATACAGATTAGCAAATCAATGGCTTAGTAAATATGTTCTTTTCAATCTATTTCATTTAGATAATTACTTACAAATCATTAATACAACTGAAGCCAAAATAGAAAAAGATTAGAAAATACTGAAGTATAAACATTAAAGCCCGAAGTATAAAGTAATATCCTTAAAATAATATTATAATGCCAGTTACAGAAAAAGTGTCTCATTAAATGTCCACCTATAAGAGAAAAATTTTTTAAAGCATTAATTATGATATGTACATTTATTCAACAGAGTCTCATTAAGGGCCCACTATATCACAGCAAAGCACTGGCTGGTCACTAAAAAGGATTAAAAGATGATATAAAGGGGCGCCTGGGTGGCTCAGTGGGTTAAAGCCTCTGCCTTCGGCTCAGGTCATGATCCTGGGGTCCTGGGATCTAGCCCCGCATCGGGCTCTCTGCTCAGCGGGGAGCCTGCTTCCTCCCCTCTCTCTGCCTGCTTCTCTGCCTACTTGTGATCTCTGTCTGTCAAATAAATAAATAAAATCTTTAAAAAAAAAAAGATGATATAAAGTCTGTATCTAGAGAGGCACCAGATGCACATACACATCGATATGTAATAATGAGTTAGTCTCGTATTTCTCAAACTTTACCATGTTTAAGAATCATGTAGCTTGCTTACTTGAAATGCAGGCTCCATAGCCCCACCCTGAGGGACTCTGATTCTAAAAATGTGGGCTATAGCCCAAGCACCTCAGGGATTTGGAAAAAGAAATTCTACAAGCCACTTTTGGAGAAACACCGCATTGTACAGAAGCCCTGTGAGGGCGGTGGCGGTGTCTGTCTTATTTTCCACGATTATCCAAGCTCTAGCACAGAGCCTGGTACACTGTAAACCCCCAGGAAAAACATTCGAGTAAATGAATGAAGGAGTATGGCTAAACTCCACAATGAATTATACAAGCAAAATGTGACATAAAAATTCAGCTATTTAAGAAGCTCCTTTCGCCTTGGGAAGAAGGTTTCCTTGGTGACATCGGCAGATATCACAAACGACCCAGTGTACAGGATTGCATTCTGAAACATCCCCTCTGTGGAATGGGGTCCCAGAACTGAGTAAATGTGACCAGACTTTTCTGTCTTGGAGTATGTTCATTTTCCTCCCATTCGCTGGTAGCATCTGAACCCTTAAGGGCTGGCCTCTATGGCTCTGAATAGAGTGATTGTTCCTCCTAACAAAGACATAGGACTCTATAAAGCCCACCCCAGCAGGCTAGAATTCCACTGGTGGCTGGCAGAACAGCTCCTCTATTAGGACTTTCACTATAGAAATATAAAATTAATCACAGTCTTAGTGGAACAGAAACATCAAAATTGCAGCAGAATGGCTTGGCATGTAAGCAACTGATTGTTACCTATTTCTTTACAAAACTGAGTCACTGGCACAGAGCCTCACTGAGGCAGTGATTATTTTTCTAAGAGAGTCTTGTAGATTTCCTTCTTGAAGTTGTGGAGCAACTTCAAACATGTCACTGCTGCACTGATGTCCACAAACAGCTACAGATAAATAATTTTTTATGGTGAAACAGATAGATGGATTTAAAAGAAAATAAAATTTCCAGATGACTAAAAATTACTATAAATTAAAAACTATTCCAAGACTACTCTTAGATTTGGAAAGAAAGGACGGGATAAGGAAGCAAATGGGGTGGGCAAAACACGTGGAAGGGAAGAAACTACATCATGGGGAAGGTAGTGAGAGAGGACAGAACTGTGGTCCAGCCATCTCATGGCAGGTGTGTCAGGTCAGGGAAGACCGTGCCATGGGGCTGGCTGTGGAAGGACAGGGACAGTCATGATGAAATGAAAAGAACTAGAGACCTAATATTTAGGACAGCTCTCAAACTTCTCCAGAAGCAGAGGTCTCAGCGAGGACAGAGAGCTTGACTGCAGTTGGGAAGCTACAGTTTCTGATCTGTCATCAATAAGCAGGAAACCATAAACAAGTTACTTAGCCTCTCCCACCCCCTCCATAAATTGAGATTTGGGGCTAAATTACCTCTACAGTGCTGCCCAGCTTTAATTTTATGGCTCTATGAAATCTTATTGACCAAGGATAGAAAGGATAAGGGAAGAGAGGAAAGAGGGGAGAGAGAAGTCCTCAGAAGGGGGCGAAAAATGGACCAGATGGAGGAGCAAGTCACAATTCTGGAGTGGTCTTTTAAAGGACACAGGCTGCGTTATGCCCTGAAGCAAGAGGAGATACAATATCCTCTCCAAACCTCTGGTAATTCACTTGGGAAGATTAATTGCAAATGAGAAACTTGCATCCAGGAAAATTACATTTTGTGATGCATAAAGGTACATTTAAAAAAATAATTTTATACTGATTGCAAGATGTTCTTTATTGTAGTAGGATATACAAAGTCTCGCCCCTCACCTACCTCTTACTTAACCAGCCTCGAATTTCACTTTGAGGTCTGCATCAAATTTGCAATCTTCAACTACCTCCTTTTGGGAAAATTCATTTTATATATATGTGTATATATATTTATATTTATAAGTATACATATACAGAAACATATACAAGCATATCATATATATATACACACATACACACATATCTGTGTAACTGTCCTGCACTATGTGTGGATGTGGCAAACATTAAAGCAATCAGACCACTTTTTTAGTGCCTCAGAAATTTCCCCAAAAGTAGAGCTCTCAGAGACGAAAGGAAAGACATTGGTCTGCATGTGCAGTGCTAAAGTGTCCTGTGCTCTCCTGCAGTCTCTAAACCATGCAACAACCATTTTGACTCTGACTCCTGTGCTAATTTCTGCTCTCAAGGCACTGACTTCACTCTGACATTTAATTTGCCTGTTATCCACTGTCATCTCCATATTTTAAGGCCATAAATGTTTAATTAACATTAGATTAGTTAAACCCAAACTCAGTGTCTAAAGTGGGAGAGTCACACAAGAACTTTCATTTCATTTAATGGCAATAAAGAGGATGTGTTTACAAACAGATACTCATGAGGAGAAATAAGAAAAAAAAAAGGCAAACCAACTATTCAACTTAACTGTGCCTAAAACATGGAGCATGTGCTCTTTGCTTAAGAAAAGACATTATTAAATATGAGAAAAAATGGACCTTAAGTGATATCTTGTGGTCACTTATGAATTTACTTATATAATATGAGAAAGGAGATTGTAATATGATGTGTTCTTTGGGATGTTAGATTAGTTTCCACAAATTCTGAAACCTTTTTTTGATACTACCAAAGGTGGTTACATTATATAATTATGATTTTACAGAGATTTATAGAGAATATTTTCCAAGAGCATTAGAAATGGCAGCTTTCATAATATTTTCTGTTTAGAAAATAGCAAGGTCTTCCAGTTCAGAGATATAGAATATAAAATTCATCCTGAATATTAGCTTTATTGATTAATTTATTTTCAGAGTATTTTGTATTATTAAAAATCTGTGCATTTTTATCTTTAGAACAATAGAAGTCAAAATGTATAGTCACATACCTGTGTCTGTTTAGGACCAATATCCATTCTTTCAAGAAGGTCATTTAAAAAAGCTGTAACACTCTCCCAGGGGTAAATACTGTTGGAGCCGTCCAGCACTATGACTATGTCCAGTTGGGTGCTGCATTCTGTAACAAAAGGAGTCAACTGTGTAAATTTGGAGTTTATCTTTTTAGATAGTATGAAGGTGTATGGAGTGTTTTCACAGCTGAAATAAGCTTATTTTTAAAAATAAGCTGATAGTCTACATAGTGGACGCATTGCTTTTATAATCAGAAAAATTAGTTTTAGGAAAATAAAGCTGGGAAATACTACTGCATTCAATAGCAACTGGCTTGCAATTCTTACCAAGTAAAAACTCATCTCTACTTAATTTTAATCAACACTGTATGAGTTATCTTTGGAAATTTTCTCAATATGAATTTTATATAACTGCTCTCATTCTGAGTGTATTTCACATGAGATTACTTTCTTCAAAGAGACTCACTCTTTAAATAAAAACAATGTGACAGCTTTAGCTATGATGTTTAAACAAGACTCTGTTAAAGGTTATTTACACTAATATTCAGCTCCAAAAATAGCAGTGGGGTTTGGTTATATATTGGCAAAGCAAACATTTACCTAAATTGGTAATGCTGGTAGCTGAGAAAATACTTCATGCTGTTTGGTATGCTCCTCTGTATACACATGTCTCATTCATTGCTTAGACTTTTCAAACATGTAAGAACATTGCAAAAAATGTGTACCTCGTACGGGAGCGATGGAGTTCATGACTTGAAATGTGGGGCTGACATCGGAACAGATTCCAGTTGTGTAATGCAAATGTCCACATCTATAGGCATATAAAGGGCCACATGCCTTTTAAAAATTAAAAACCATAAGGTTAAAAATTATATAACAGATTTTTATAAAGACTTACATTCCTGGTAAATGACAACATTCCTGGTTCATTAACCAACTCTTTGCTTTCTTACCAGAAACCCTCCGTTTGGGTTGGTGACTAAAGTTGATCCAAATGTCATGTTCTCCTTTACTTCTGTGACATTGGGAATTGATGTATTAACTAAAAATAGAATAAAATTTTATGAGGGTGGAAAATAAAGTATAATTAAGTGTCTTTTCATTAAGACATCCTATTTGTTTTGCTCATATCATAGCACATTCTTGTTCTGATTCAACTAAATAGTCTTCAAAGTATTATTAAGGAATATAATGAAAAAGCGAAGGCTGAAAACCTGGCTTATATCCCAGAAACTTTGTCTGGATAACTGTCTCAAATAGTTTTGTTGAACTGTAAAAGAATGCAGAACGATTGGGGCAATGAGAGAATGTGGGATAGCCTTTCACACATTTTTGCTAATTAAAACAAATAAAATATTTAATCTCATATATTATAGGTATAATGTAAACTTACATACCTATCTTGCATATTATGTCTATATGTTTATAAATAACTAATGATAAAATGTGATTTCTGACAAGAGGGAAAGTGAGTAGTAGAGGAGAAAAAAACCCCCTCAAATATAAGTTTATGACCATTAATTTCACCATCATAGAGACATCATGAGGGTAACAAAGAAAACTGGAGCGAGAATGAGCAGTGGTTAGGACATCTGGATAGAAGAAAAACAATGAAGGGACACCATTTGACAGTCAAGATAAGAACATTGGATTTTGAAGCATGCCAACCTGGCAAAATTGGCAAGAATTTCCAGTTATTCAGATTGAAAAAAAAAAAAAAAAACTTTGGACGGGATGCCTGGGTGGCTTAGTTGGTTAAGCAGCCACCTTCGGCTCAGGTCATGATCCCAGTGTCCTGGGATCGAGTCCCACATCGGGCTCCTTGCTCAGCAGGGAGCCTGCTTCTCCCTATGCCTCTGCCTGCCACTCTGTCTGCCCGTGCTCACTTTCTCTGACAAACAAAACAAAACAAAACAAAACAACAACTTTGGACAGGAAAATCAAAATCTTCTAAACCCTGCTTAGCAGAATGTTGAAATATTTGAAAGTGGTAAAACTCAGGTTCAAGAAAGATTTATCTCATTGGTCATGCTGAGAAGTCTTTCCTACCTAAGACTATATATAACTTCAAAGGGGGAATAGAAGCAGAGATTCTTGAATGGTCACACTGTCTTCCTACTCTGACAATGGTCTTTGTCCCAGAATTCAGTCTGGTTTGCCTTGAAAGCACCTGGAGCTGGGCTATTGTCTACACTGGTCTTAAATAATCTGGATTAGAGTTTTTTATACTAGAGTAGACCCAGGATGAGGATTCTTGGGACGATAGGGACTATAGCAGGAACTTCTCCACTGTTGTTGGTGTAGTTAAAATCTCCTTGCTAATGTTAAAACTCTATTACAGTTTCCAGTAATGAAAGAGCAGCTCCTATCTGAACAAGTCTTTTGCAAATAACAACTGTAACTCTACGAAAAGGAGAAAAAAAGTAACAACCATCTGAAGGTACTGGAAAGCAACAAAAAGCAGACAGAAACCGGAGGCAAGCATGTACTTGTAAGAAAAGATTAGCACTGGGTGAGTTTCCTGTTTATATTTTTGTTTTCCCCGAAGAGAAGACCCTCATCAGTGGCTACACCGCAAATAAAACTCAATGTCTTAATGTTTCGAAGAAACAGAGGACAGAAATTAGAGTAATGATAGCAACTGCCAAGTGAGGGGGATCTATGGTGGAAGTAGAACCACAAAAAGAGAGTTCCAACATATACATGTATGTTCTGTCCAAATACGTGAAGGACTTGAACTGTGCGTGCTCAGTGTAGACTTCAGACAGCTCTGCTACAATGAGAAGACCTGAAGAGAGATTTTGACTGCTTCTCACTGCCATTTGGAAATTGAGTTCAGCCGAGTAAACTGTCCGCAACACCAACAAGTTAAGAGTATTCAAAGACACATAAAAGATCTAGAATCTCCACACTTCTAACTCAAAAGTATAACCCAGGATACAATTCAAAATTATTAAACACAAGATAAAACAGGAAAATATGACTCAGCCTCGAGAGAAAGGTAAAAAAATGGAAAGTGATATTGAGACATTCCAAATGTTATAATTACCAGGCAAGGATATCAAAGCAGTTATTATAACTATGCTCATGAATGTAAAGGAAAAATATTCGTAATAAACAAACAAATAGGAAATTGAAAAAAAGAAAACCAAAAAATGCAATATTTGAAATTAAACTTATAAAATATATATTAATTTAATGGTTTTAACACTGTATAGAACACTGATAGGATTCTAATTCTTGGATAGTTCTAGTAGGAATTTTCTAGTCATGTTCTAATTACAGTGATATTTCTATCCAACATATCTATTTCTATGTAAATGTGCTTTGTGTTATTCTCTTTAAAAGAATTTATATATTACAGTTCCTGTTCTATTTTCTTTTAAAAAAGAAGCAATTCAATTTTGTGGAGACAATGTAATGGGTAGGGTTATTTGGAAAGTTCTTTTATTTCTAAATCTATGGATATTTTATCATGAATTCTAAAGCAAATGAAGGGCAGACAGAATCAAAATGTCATTTTGTGTGAATCTGAATGATAAGAAATGAAGAATGTTTATAGATTCTTGCAATCTTTTCTTGAGTTAAAATTTATTTTTAATGAGAATACTGGGTATAATTTAGGATCAGACCTTAGCGTTTTAACTTTACATACCTGGTAGATCCAACTTTATGCAAGGTAAGGGTTTGCCTCTCCCAACTGGACACTTATAGACATCTCCAGTTCTGTTCTTGGGTTGACCAACTAAAGGAGAACCAATAAGCACCCTGGAAGTTAAATAACTCAATTAACATTTTCGAATAAAAGGAAACATTTTATTTTATTTTAAGACGAGTTCTATGACAATGACAGTAATTCTCATAGACATAATCAGATTGTTACCCTCTGTTACTAATGTAATGTTATTTTTTTTTTAAGAGTTTATTTATTTATTTGACAGAGAGAGAGATCACAAGCAGACAGGGAGGCAGGCTGAGACAGGAGGAAGCAGGCTCTCTGCAGAGCAGAGAGCCGGATGCGGGGCTTGATCGCAGGACACTGGGATCATGACCTGAACTGAAGGCAGAGGCTTCTGAGCCACCCAGGCGCCCCCTAATGTAATGTTATTAAAAATAATCTGAGTATCTTCAAATTGCAGGTTGATTTGTATTAAAAAGCCTTAAGATATATAGAGGAGAGATTCCAGTATGTTTTATTTATTGTATTATATATTACTTTATTATATATTTTATTTGGGGGCTAAAATAGTAATTATTTTTAAACCTGCTGCTGTGTTAGTTTAGAAAACATACATGGAAGTATAAATGACTTTTTCCTATGAGGAACTGATAATTCATAGAGAAATTAGCAAATATAAACATTTGATTATCATAAGATTTAATATTAGTATATACTAGTTTGTAAGCACTTAGAAAATAAGGATAGTTGTGGACCCAGGTTAAAATCACTTACTGTCTATTTGGACAGAATTATAGAATCATTTTAATAATAATTAATGAAGAAATATAGTCATGATTTATTTCAGTCCAAGGAAGCCATTTAACAAAGTTTCCTGTGATATCTTCAGGAACAGGGTAGATGAATGTGGTTGAGTGTTAAGGCACTTGCGTTGATTCACAGCTGCTGATTCACTGCTGGCTGAAAAGCTATATACAAAGATGCTGATTACTATCAACCAAAGGACTTGAATTATGTGCCATAAGAATGTACTTGGGATTGTCTTAGCCTGTATCTTTGTTTATGACTTTTGTGAAGATACGGAAGGCATAAGGTTATGCATCAAGTAAATCAATATATCTATTTGGGCAATCAGAAGTGTCTCAACATTCTGGAACAAGAAACTTAATAAACTAGTTAAAACTTAATATGAAACTATGTAAATAATTTCACTTAGCTGCATACTATTATCTACATGAATACAGGATGTGGGCAACCTGACTTAATAGGAGTTCATGTAAAAAAGACATGGGGGATTTGTCCATAATCAGTAAACATGAGCCAACAGTGTATTTTAGTATCAAAAATGCTAATGTGACCTCAGGCTGCATTGCTGGAAATAGATGCCCTGGTCAAGGAAAGTGATCACCCCTCTGTGCTTTGCACTGTCAGACCATGTCTGTAATCCCCAAATTAAGAGGGACATAGGCACAATAGAATGTATTTAGGAGTTATGACTCAGATGGTTAAGTATCTGGTAATTTTGTCAGACCAGAGATACTTGAGGGAAAGTTGGGGATGCTTAGCATAAATATATATGTATATAATCTGAAGGAAAGTTGAGAGGTTCCACAGGAGTGTAGGTGTTGAAGGCATGTATTTAAAAAGAAGTCTAGGGGCACGTCGGTGGCTCAGTGGGTTAAGTCTCTACCTTCAGCTCAGGTCATGATCTCAGGGTCCTGGGATGGAGGCCCGCATCCGGCTCTTTGCTCAGCTGGGAGCCTGCTTCCCCACTCTCTCTGCCTGCCTCTCTGCCTACTTGTGATCTCTCTCTCTGTCAAATAAATGAATAAAATCTTAAAAAAAAAAAGAAATCTAAATATTTGAAAGTCTCTTATAGTGAAAAGAAATGGTATTTTTTGGTGGAAATTCTTTGGATAAAGGAAGTAGTAATGAAAATGTTATATAACATGCAAATATTGAATTGTTGAACAGGATCCTTAAAATATAGCTATGATATAATGCTTTTGTAAAGCCATTTTTGACATGCATAAATAACCATAAAAATGTTTAAACATTTTAATGCATAATTCTTACTTCTGGAAATCTATCCTAAAAAAGTGGCCTAAATTAAGAGAAAAAGCTTAATGCATAAAAATAATGCTCATAGTGTTATATATAATATAAAAAATGAAAAAATATAGTCAACAGCAAGAACTAAGTATCACAGGGCCATTCTATAGAATATTGAAATCATTAAAAATAATAGTTAATGAGATTGCATGGTGATATTAAAATCATTTATGATCTAATTCAAAGTAAAAATCTGCCTCATTTAGTGAAAACCTATGACAATTCAAAGTGAATGATACCAAACTACATTGAATGTACTCCTTATAATAGCAATGACAACAACAGCTGGCACTTATTAAATCTATACCTTCTCCCATATACTGTTCTAAGCGCTTTCCATATACTAAGCAATTTAATCCTCTCCATTAAACACAGCATGACCTTTGGTGCCAGACTTCATGCATTCAAATCATGGCTTTGTCACTTACTTAGCTATATGATTTAGGATAAGTCACTTACCCTCTGTGCCTTAGTTTCTTCATCTGTAAAATGGAACTACTATATCTATGTAAAACATAGATTAAAAGGGAGTTCATCAAAAAACCAAATTATATTAAGGAAATTATGGTTAGTGTTCTTTCCCCAATATTTTCAAAGCTTTTTGTAATGTGATTGATTAAATTAACTTAATAGTTAAGAGAGTTTAGAGAAAAGTAGGGAGCCCACTATTATGAAAAATATTTAAGTTGAGGCTAGGCAGATTGAAAAATGTTTATTAAGAACATTCTACAGGCCCAGCATGTACACTAGGTCCCAGGGATACGAATTAATAAAATTTTTCTAGGTTGCTTAAAACTTAGGGGGGAAGCAGAACTATAAATGGACTATTATAATACTGGATAGGTCAAAACTTGGTGCAACATCAGCAGGTCTTAGGAGCAAGAAGAAACAGCTCCTTTGGTGAGTTCAAGTAGCTCAGTGTAGCTGGAGTGGAAGTAGAGCCTGTCAAGCCAAACAGTGTCCAGATCATGAACATTCCTAGAGTCTGGTTTGAGAACTTTGGGTTTATCATATGGAGGGGAGAGTTGGGAACCACTCATGCTTTTAATGATCAAAAGCTGTGTGGAGCTTATCTGTTTGCAGTGTTGTGAATAAACTGGAAAAGGGGCAAATTAGACTCAGAGAGTGAAGGTAAGAGTTTCTAGACCCAGACAAGAAAACAGGACATGAATTTAGGAAGTGGAGAAGAAGGGAGAACCAATTCTATAAGTAGAATATAAGCTGTCTTACTTTGAGTTCTCTCAAAAGCAGACCCTAGACAAAGACTTTGGGATAGGTAGATTTTGGGGAGGCAATTCTAAGCCCACACAAAGGTGGAGGTGGGGAAAATGATAGAGAGAAGAGAAGCCAGTAGAGTGCATTGATAATAGGTTATTTCTTTGTTGTTGTTGTTTTTTTTTTTTTTTTTTTTTTACTATAGCTAGTCTTTATTTTTTTATTTTTTTAAAAATTTTTTAATTTATTTATAAACATATAATGTATTATTAGTCCCAGGGGTACAGGTCTGTGAATCACCAGGTTTACACACTTCACAGCACTCACCATAGCACATACCTTCCCCAATAACCCTACCACCCTCTTCCTCCCCGCCGCCCCCCAGCAACCCTCAGTTTTTTTTGTGAGATTAAGAGTCTTTTATGGTTTGTCTCCCTCCCAATCCTATCTTGTTTCATTTATTCTTTTCCTATCCCCCCAAGCCCCCCACGTTGCATCTCCACTTCCTCATATCAGGGAGATCATATGATAGTTGTCTTTCTCTGATTGACTTATTTCGCTAAGCATAATATCCTCTAGTTCCATCCACGTCATCCCAAATGGCAAGATTTCATTTCTTTGATGGCTGCATAGTATTCCACTGTGTATGTATATACCACATCTTCTTTATCCATTCATCTATTGATGGACATCTAGGTTCTTCCCATAGTTTGGCTATTGTGGACATTGCTGCTATAAACATTCGGGTGCACGTGCCCCTTTGGATCACTCCATTTGTATCTGTAGGGTAAATACCCAGTAGTGCAATTGCTGGGTCATAGGGTAGCTCTATTTTCAACTTTTTGAGGAACCTCCATGCTGTTTTCCAGAGTGGTTGCACTAGTTTGCATTCCTACCAACAGTGTATGAGGGTCCCCCTTTCTCAGCATCCTCGCCAGCATCTGTCATTTCCTGACTTGTTAATTTTAGCCAGATAATAGGTTATTTCTACAGGCCTCTGGGCTCAGTCTTGCTGGTGGTCATCTCAGAAAGCACGTGGAACATATCTGAGCATGGTTGAGGCCCCAAGCATAAATACTACTGCCTTAAGAGAGTACACAGTAAAAAGAGAGTTGTAGGAAAAAAAAAAAAACAAAAAAACACAAGATTTTAATGAGCAAAGGAAGAAAACTGATAGGAGTGTCCAGAGAAGGAGAGAGAGAATCAGGAAACTGGTATCACAAAAGCCAAAGCAGAAAGAATATAAAAAATGGGAACCATGAGTACAGAGCAGACTTTATTTCAAGATGTTTGGCTAAAAATGAGGGAGATGGGCCATGTCAATATGTGTGGGCTTCCCCCCCACCCAGGCAAACCATCAAGGGTTTGAAGTGAGTTTAATTTTATTATAGAAGGCATCCATATATTGATAAATGATGTTGAGAAAGAACTAGTAATATGAGAAAGGCTATTATTACAGTAGAGAGGGCAGAGCCCCTGAGCTGGTAGAAGGGGTGAATCCAGAAGGAAAAATTTGTATTAGACATGAGGAAAGGCGGGACGCCTGGGTGGCTCAGTTGGTTAAGCAGCTGCCTTCGGCTCAGGTCATGATCCCAGCGTCCTGGGATCGAGTCCCACATCGGGCTCCTTGCTCTGCAGGGAGCCTGCTTCTCCCTCTGCCTCTGCCTGCCATTCTGTCTGCCTGTGCTCACTCTCTCTCTCTCATAAATAAATAAAATCTTTAAAAAAAAAAAAAAAAAAAGACATGAGGAAAGGCCATTGA